TTTTGAAGAGAACTTGTCATCATCTAGAACTATTATGGTTTAGTTCATATGTAGATTTTAATGAATTCATAAATAACCAACATATTCAACATTTTGAATATTGTAAAGAAAAGATATTGTAGTCACTCAACTTGCTAAGATAGATATTTATAGTGAGGAAGGCTTTATGTTATTTTCCTCTTGCTGCATCAAAATGGTAACAATAGAGAGCAAGCTAAGGTAATGAAAGCTCTAATATGGTTTGTCAAATGTTGAGGGAGAAGGCCAATTTTGCTAGAGCGAGCAAAAATCATTAAAAAGAAACTTTATTTTGTCCCACTTACATGTACTAAATTGGGTCCTTTCAAGAAATTGAAAGATTTGGAGCTCAATAAGAGGAACATTGTCAACTGTGGGGCTCTTTAAAAGATGCTTGTTTATAATTTCTTCATATTTTATTCTATGTCAATTTCTTTCAATTGTTGGTGCTATTGACATGCATGTTGATTTTTTCTTCCTTTTAGATTTCATTGAGGTGGCTACTAAAGAGGTAGGTGTAGACAAGGACGCAAGTAAAGATACAAACTCTACAACTCTTATCTCCTCGATTCATTTCTCGGGAATCATGGAGTGTCTCTAGAAGTAATTGAAAATTTTATTAAAGCTGCAACATGTAATAGAGGGAAGATGAAGAAGAAGAAGAGAAAGGAGAGGCGATCTCGACACCGATTGGTGTTGAAAAGGGTGGTGATGAGGGAGTCCAAGCACTGTTGAGCCCTTAATTGAAAAAAAATTTGCAATGCACGAGAAAACTTATAACAATGCAAACAAGCTAGTTGCAGAGGTTAGGGTGGTTTGTTCCTCACCTATTCATCCTCAACCTCACCCTATAAATGAATCCTTCAAAATTAGAGAGTAGTAAAGGAAGCAAATCGATAAACTTGCTGCTGCTATTGCATGGTCACCACATAGGGTAAGGCGAAAGGGCTAGCGACATAGCTCCCTTCCAAAAAAGCAACAAGGGTTGAAGAGCCACTTCTTTCACCAATGAGCACGTTCTTAAGATCAATATAAGGGAAACATCTGTTGGAATAAAATCAATGCATCAAAATATTGTTATGTTTATTAGAGATCTGAGATTTTGATGAAGAAAGACATGATAGTTGATCGGAGGGTCTCCTCTGAGAAACCGCACTCACTTGCATTCGAGCTAAGTTATGTGATAAGGTCACATGAATATCCCAACAACCCAAATATAGTTTTGAAGAAGACTGTTATTACATGGCAGTTTAAACACACCCATATGGTGGGCCTATGGGAGGGTTTACAAATAGGCACCCAACTCAAGCATGGAGCAACACTATCGTGGAGCCAAGATTGCAAATCCATAGGTTCGGCGGCAGCTGGCTCCATAGGTTCGGCAGCAGTCTCATTCTTGTCTCTATTCCTCTCCTTTTAAAACCAATAAAAAACATTTTTTCTATATATCATGCCACACTGTCGTAGACTCTCGTAGATTACTTCAAGCTGAAGGGTGGTTGGCTTACGAATATCTTCGTTATCGTAATGTATACCTGTTACGCCAGGCACAGACATACACGCATTACTTATTCAAATTTATTTAATTATTAAATTTTCTTAAGACGCCATGAGAGGAAAAAAAGACTTAACGAAAGAAAATGACATCTCATCGGCCAGCTAGAACCATGACCGCAACTCTCATGCATTTAAAAAATATAAAAAAAAAATTGTAATCCGGCACTGTTTCAGATGTTAAAAAAAAGAAAAAAAAAAACAATATAAAAATTATAAAAGCAGTTTCACCATTCGCCACGTGCGCTCTCGTGCACCCAGCTAGAACCATGACCGCAACTCTCATGCATTTACAAAATATAAAAAAAATATTATAATCCGGCACTGTTTCAGATGTTAAAAAAAAAGAAAAAAAAAACAAATAAAAAAATTATAAAAGCAGTTTCACGATTCGCCACGTGCGCTCTCGTGCAACTGCACCCTGCATCTCCTACAGGCAACACCATCACGAACCCTATGCCTTCACCATCCGTCCCCTGCCGAAGAATAGTCTCATCACACTGATCGATCAAGCTCTTCCTCCAAAAGCATCTGCTTTCCCCTGCCCGCCACAAACCCTAACCCTAGAATTTTACAATTATTCTATCCTACTCCCATGTTGCAGCTGACAATGATTTCAAAAAAAATATATATATAAATCATAAAGCCAGCCATCGTCACATCCATCATTGCCACAGTAACCATTCCTTGTTTAAATAAGCAATTTACATACCACTTTCACTCCATTCAAATCATCCCTTATGGCCGCCGGTACTTTGCTCTTCTTCCTCCTCCTCTCCCTCCTTCCTCATTCTCTCTCAGACAACCACTCGCCGGCGATCCCGGCGAATGAGCTGGTCGCCCTGCTTGAACTCGTCGGCGGCCTCCTAACTGACCATGGCTGGGCCGAGCTCCACCCGCATCCATGCACCGACACCCCATGGCCGGGAATCCAATGTGAGGCCGACGGAATCAATGCCGACGTCCTCCATGTCACCGGAATCCACGTTGGCGTTGATGTTTCCTCTTCCCCTCCCTGCAAGCCCTCTGCCTTCCTATCTCCGTCTGCGCTTCTCCACCTCTCATTCCTCAAAAGCTTCTCTCTTTTTGGCTGCTTCCTTTACCCTAACAATGTCTCTCTCCCTGCCTCCTTTTTTAACAACTCATCTTCTTTGGAGCAACTAATACTAGATTCAAACACCGGTCTCGTTGGCGAAATCCCCTGCTCTGTATCCAACCTGAAAAGACTCAGAGTGCTCTGCCTCTCACAGAACGCCTTCCATGGCAAGATACCACCGGAGATTGGAAGCTTGGAAAGCTTGCAGGAACTGGATCTAAGCTGCAATCGTTTTCATGGGCAGATACCAGATGAGATCAGCGGGCTGTCAAGCCTCCTCATAGCCGACTTCTCCTCCAATGAACTCCAGGGGGAGCTCCCTGCTTCCATTGGTAGCCTGCATTCTCTTCAAAAGATTGATTTCAGCTTCAATTCTCTCTCAGGTACAGTTCCTCCAGAGCTCGGAGAATTGAAAAGACTGGTATTACTTGATTTCAGCCATAATGACTTAACTGGGCCACTGCCTGCTGCACTCTCTGGCTTGATCGAATTGGAGTATTTTCTTATGGAAAGCAATCCACTCAATTCCAGCATTCCACTGTTCCTTGCTGAATTGAAAAAATTGCAGGTTGTTGGAATCTCCGATTGTGGGCTATTGGGATCTATTCCTTCATTCTTTGCATCTTTGGTGAGCCTCAATGCTCTGTCATTGGATGGAAACAGACTTAATGGATCAGTCCCAGAGAGTTTAGGGTTACTTCCAAACCTGGGTTTGCTCAACCTGAGTCAGAACCAGCTAAGTGGTGAAATTGGCTTCTCCGAAGAGTTTGTGAGAAAGCTGGGGAAGAGATTGGATGTGAGAGATAACAGGGGTTTGTGTTCAAGCTCTCATAAATACCATGAAGATTCCTACAATCTCGAATGTCCTCCTTGCTTGGGTTCGACTATTAACAATGGCAGCAATGGAAGCAACAGCATGGGAGGTAATAATGGCGAAGAAGAAACTAGCGACATTGGAATAAACCCATCTTCGAATATTAATGGAGTAGCTTGTTTAGGGCAAGAGTTCTGTTTCCAATTTGGGCCAAGCTTTCTCAGGCTGTTGAGTTTTCAGGTATTTGCCATGGTGATGACTTTTGCAGTGTGATGGCTTGCTTTATTGCAGCAGAGGAGAAAAGATCTGAGACTGCCATTTTTTTTATGAGAAGTCACTTTTTGTCTTTGCTTTTGCTGCAACTCTGTATTTATTTTTGTTAGGAATTGGAGTGGAGAAGAAGATGTGGAGCTTTGGTTTAAAACTGGAAAGGTTTATGTTACAGTTTAGAAAATTAGGTGTCTTCTTTTTATTTGGAAGTGTTGTGGTGATGTGGTTGTATTTATGTGTAATACAATCTTCTACTTAAATGGTGCAGTTGATGGCGGCAAATGATCATAAAATATTATATCAGTACTTTAGATACATTCAGAGTGTAATAGGGGGTGCCAAGGGTTCCACTGTTTTTAACCCTGACTAATATCAGTGTTTTACGGTGAGACCCACTTGACACATGATGTCTATTTCTGAGAAATGATTTGGGTTTCAGCTGAATTGATTTTTGCTCGCTTCTTGAAGAAAAGTTTGCGTACTTAAGACGTACGCAGCGCTGCATACATTAGAGAGATTATTCAGACGGTATCAGGGGGTTACATCCACGTTACACCCCCTTGAAACTTCCTTATAACTTACCCATAACCTATAAATAAGTTTCGCACTTCTGTTTTCATATTTCATATATTTGTATGTTAAAGGTAGGTTACAGAGAGTTTGAGATATAACGCGAATATAATCCTAGAATACTCTCTGAATAACCTCTTGACCTACTCAAATTTTTCAAAGTTTTGCAATATTTAATATATGATCACTTCACATTGTGCCAGAAATTATGAAATTCAAATTAAAAAAACCACTCTGAATATAAATATTTAAATATTATATTTCAGATCTGCATTCTGCAACTTTAGTAGCTTTCTGTGTCAACTTACTAGCTTTATTTATACGAAAATATTTAGGCGATTGACAAAAAGTAAAAGATTTTATTATTATTATTATTATTATATGAAAGGACGAGTCATAATTTTGAAGGGTCACATGAGTTAGTGATATTAAAAAAAGAAGTTTTTCTTATCTTCTTTGACGGTCAAATGAGCCTTTTAAAGGAGTTTGGAATTATGCTCATATTATTTACATTCAATTGAATTGTAGCTACATTTATACTTTATTCTGCTAGTAAAATATTATTTCTGATTCAAGAAATCAAACAAGGCTATGCAAGAAAAATAGGAGTTAAAAGCATGATGGAAGATAGATTTTGAAAATTAAATTTGAGCTTAAATCTTACATAAAATTTGCATACATAGTACTTATTTCCTATGTATTTACATATTTAAAACCTAGATTTCAATTTTTATTTATATCGTCTTATTTATGTAATTCATATACGTAAAAAAGAAGTTGAGGAGGATTTAAAGAAAACCAAGAGTGAAAGTCTGTAGGACGGATAATTTCCCAATTGAAGTGTGAAGATATTTAGGAGTGAGGAGTCTATTGGCTTACTAAACTCTTTATTATTATTTTATAAACTAAAAAGATGCCTCACTGAGTGGAGGAGCAGTATTTTGGTCCTCATTTTTAAGAATAAAGGGGATGCACAAGAGTGTCCTAATTATAGAGGAATAAAATTGATGTGTCATACTTTAAAATATGGGAGAGGGTAATTGAACATACGTTAAGACGTATTACAAATATTTCTCATAATCAATTTCGATTTATGTCGGGCTGGTCTGCTAGGGAAGCTATACATTTATTGAGAGATTTGAGAAGTTTAGAGACAATAATGAGGATCTACATATTTTATTTAACAAAAGCTTATGATAAGGTTCCAAGAGATATCCTTTGGAGAGTTCTTGAGAAGAAGGTGTTCATATGACTTATATTCAAGTCATTAAACATATGTATACAAGAGTTGTTCTGTTCGAACAGAACGAGGATTGACCGAATATTTTCCTATTTATGTCAGTTTACATCTGGGATCAGCTTTAAACCCATATCTTTTTGCTTTAGTTGTGGATGGTCTTACTTGACACTTACAGGAGGATGTACATCGGTGTATTTTTTTTACAGATGATATCCTTCTCGTGGATGAGATGAGAAAAAAAGCTCGGGAAAAACTTGAATGATGGAGGTCTACCTTGGAGTCTAAAGGCCTTTGTTTGAGTAGAGCTAAAACTGAATACATGGAATGTAATTTTAGTATTAGTAGCTCTAGTGACTGAAATGTAACCATGGGTGATTAAATTCTTAAAAGGTGTGAACGTTTTAGATGTCTTGGGTCTATTGTTCAAAGGGGTTGTGATATTGATGGGGATGTTATTAGTAGAATTTAAGTTGGTTGGTTGAAGTGGAGGTTGGTTGGTTGGTTGAAGTGGAGGAATGTTTCAGGCCTATTGTGTGATAGAAAAGTATCACTTAGGCTGAAAGGAAAATTTTATAAGATGATGTTGAAACCTATAATGCTCTATGGCGTTGAATGTCGACCATTGAAAGGAAAGCATAAAACTAAATTAAGTGTTGTCGAAATGAGAAAGATAATGTGGATAAGTGGCTTCACACTTAGAGATAAAATGCAAAATGAATATATTTATGATAGGGTTAGTGTATCTCCATTGACAGATAAAATTAGAGAGAGTCATCTTAGATGATTTGGTCACATTAAATGTCGACCATCTAATGATCTGATAAGAAGAGTAGATGTTTTAGATTCGACTCTTGTTTAGAAAGGTGGAGGTAGACCCAGGAAGACTTGGGCATATTGTGTAAAAAATGATCTTAATTTATTAGAATTAAATGAAAATATGACACTAAATAGGACGCAACGGAGAAAAATGATTCATGTAACTGACCCCACTTAGTGGAAAAGGTTTTGTTGTCGTTGTTGTTGTATCATCTTATCTATGCATGAAATGATGAATTTAATTTTTGTAAGCCTTTTCAATAGCATTTTTCATGTGATATGAAAGATTTCCATGATATATTGTCATTAGTAGTTTAGGAGTTCGACATATAAATACATAAGAGTTGGATGGCATGACTGTAAATGCCACGATTTTTTTTATTTTGTTTTTGTGAAATTTTAACCTTCTGTTAGTTTCCGCAATCGGGAGATTGGGTTCTAATTTCAATGCTACTTATTTTTTGATAATAATTATAAAAAATTTAAGATATTTGAATCAAATAAGAGTTTAAGCTAGAAATGTACAGAACATATTTGGTGGAATCTTACTGATAGAAACATAATGTTACTATTACATCTGTGCATAAGAATTTTAGTGACCTAGTTTTAAATTTGAATTTTATTTTAAACTTTTAGGTTTTGATTGAAATTTAGGAATCAACTAAATAAAAAAATAATAATGAGTTTAGAATATATTTAAAAAGAAATTGATGAAGTGAAATATTAGAATGTGAAAGCATGATATGATGGAGACAATTCATTCATGTTCAATGAGTTTCTCTCATTAAAGTTTTGTTCCGTTTAGTTGCACAATTAGTGACAACTACCGAACATTTATTTTATGCCCCAAAACAGCTCACAAGGAATTTGCAGCTATTCAAAAACATACATAACTTCTCCAATAGATTATGAACAAAATGAATTGCCCAACATCACTTTATAGCGACCACATTTACTATTACGCAAAAATAATGCAGATAGGAACTCACACACAACAATCAAACACAAAGATTTATGTGGTTCAAGATAAATTGATTCGCCTATGTCCTTGGGGAGGGAGATTTCACTAACACGGGATAGAGAAAAAGAAAGATGGCTTGAGGTTATAACTCAACACTTCTCTCATCATACCTCTCACATGAGTCTCTTATATCCTTTATATGGAAGATAATTAGGCCATTCAAGGAAATACTCAAAAAGAAATCAAATCAATTATAATGTACACATTAAATAAAATCCATAAATTGCAATAATCTCCACATCATCTCTTACTTTCAGATAAGTGAGAGATTTCATCTGAACTCCAACTTCAAATCAGTTGCTCCAAGATGGTTGCGTACGTACCCCTTCGCCCCTCCGAAAGGACCAAACATCACATAGTTCATCAAAATGCCCGACTGAGAAATCAGTCCTAAGCTCAGATGTTCATCAAACTCTGCAATAGGTGAACTTTTGGTCTGGTAGTCCCTTTAGGAGCATTTCTATCGGATTCTCCTATGTATCTTCAATAAAACATTGTATTCTTCAATCAAATTCTGAACAAAGTGGTATCTTATATTAATGTGCTTGGTACAAACATGACTAATTGGATTTATAGCCAAGAATATAGCACTTTGACTATCACAAAACACCGTTAGAGACTACTGATCAACCCCCAAGTCATTTAATAGGCCTTGCATCCTTATTGCTTCTTTCATCGCCTCTGTAACTGTTATGTACTCATCCTCAGTAGTAGACAAAGCAATAGTAGACTAAAGAAATGACCTCCAATTGATTGGGCCTCCTGTCGATGTAAATAAATAGCTCATCAAAGATCTTCACCTATTCATATCACCTGCATAGTCCGAGTTAGTGTAGCCTACACACAAATCTGCAATAGATGATTACTCTTAAACACCAAGCCAACATCAATTGTACCCTTCAGATACCTCAAAATACATTTCACAACCTGTCAATGAGTCATTCCTATATCATGTATAAACCTGCTCACAACAACAACTCCTTGTTTAATGTCTGGTCTAGTACAAACCATGACATACATCAGACTGCCTTGTACTAGCATAAGGAATTGATTGCAAATATTTCCTCTCTTAATCATTTTTAGGACACTGATATTAACTTAACTATAAGTTAGAGGCAACAAGTAGATTCACCACCTTGCTCAATTCTAGAACCCCAAATTTCTTCAACACCTTCCAAACATAAGCACCTTGCAAACTTTTTCCTTAAGAATATCCATGCCAATAATTTTGTAAGCTTCACCTAACTCCATCATTTAAAAAAATTTAGACAGTTGATTCTTCATCCTATTAACCTCAAACTGGCTGGCAGAAGCAATCAACATATCACAAACATATAGAAGCAAGTAAATGAACTTACCGTTAGCAAAGTTTTTGAAATATGCACAATTATCATACTGGCTCCTTGGATACTTATCTCCCCTCTTTAATTGATCAAATTTTTTATACCACTATCTTGATGACTGCTTCAATCCAAATTATGACTTGTCTAGTTTGCAAAAAAAAATCTTTTGATGCTCCATATCCAAATGGTTGCAACATATATATCTCATCTTGTATTTCACCATATAGGAATGCAGTTTTCACATCGAGCTATTCCAAGATCAGAACGTATGGTGTTACAAGAGCTAAGAGAAGATGGAACGAGGTATGATTAACCATTAGAGAGAACACTTCATCATA